AGTGGGGGCTTCGGGGTCGCCGCACGGCTTTGGAACTCGGGCAGTCTTCGAGGACGCCCAGGGCGACCAGGACCTCCAGGGTCCCAAGACCGTGCGTTTACTTCAGATTTCGTAATAAAAGGGAGGGGGTCTGGACCCTCCAAGACAAGCCATTTCAGACCTCCCCCGTGGGAGAACCCTCCCAAACATCGTCCCCAGACCCACCAGGCCCTCAAAGATAGCCTGGAAGAGACCTCACCCCGAAATGAGACCCCCTCCCTTTATTACGAAATCTGGAGTAAGGACCGTGCGGTGAGGTCTCTTCCGAGGTCACTACGCGGTCTTTCACCACACGGTTTTGGGACCCTCGGTGGGGCACCTGGCGGGCGAGCCTTGCCGAAGCAGGCCGCGGTTGACTGCCCCGTCGCCATCGGTCGCCACCCGCCCACCCTGTGGCTGAGGCGCATGTACCAGCGCCTGGCTGGGGCCGTTCGGCGCCAGCGCGGGCGCCGCGAGGTACGCAAATCTGTGCCGGGGCCGAGGCTGCGCTCAATGCCTTGGCCAGGCGCCAGGCCGGAGCCTGGCTCCAGACCCGGCGCCATCCCAGCCAAGGCTGCGCTGCTAGGCCATGGCCAGAAACGCCGGGTCAGGGCCTGGCTGGCCTTGACCCCGCGCAGCTTGGGCGGTGCGCCAGGCGCGGACGGTGTCGGGCAAAGGCCGCGCTCGAGGCCCTGGCAAAGCGCCAGGCCACGGTATGGCCAGGGCCTTGCCAGCCTTCACCTGGTACGGCTCTGGCAAGGCGCCAGGCCAGGGCTGTGCCGGATCGCGCGGGGCCAAGGCCAAACCCAAGCGTGTACGGCTTTGATCTTGCTCTGCTTTCACCCCAAAGCCTACTCACTCAGAAAACCCTGAACCATGGCATAGCACGAGCATGATGTGTTAGACTATACTAGGGGGGGGAACAAACCTACCTCGCTTTTGACCACCCTCGCTTCCAAGAGATACCAAGCGATGCCAAACTACGGCCCGTACTGATCAGGCCGCTTGACGAGGAGGCGCGTGGTATGACTTGGTTTTGCCTGGAAGCGAAAGCGGGGTAGGTCATTCACGCTCTGATATACGGCGATCTGTCTAAACACTTCAGACCGCCTGACAAAGTGACGCCACAGCACGCACGCACGCACGAATAACTCAGGAATCGGGGCTGGAGAAGGAAGGTCACACTCTGGATGTTTTCCCACTCGCAGGGCAGTGGATATCGGCCAGGAGAAAAGACCTAGACTGCGCACCCAGCCAAACGGGCCCGAACTTTCCAGGACCACGGCAATCGCCTCGTTGTCCTCCTCCTTCTTCTTCTGCTGCTCCTCCTCCTCTTCCTCCCTCCTCCCCACCGCCCGTGTCCCCCACATCCTCCTCTTCTTCAGCATGTGCACAATGCGAACGAGGATGCAGTTGCGTCTCTCATGCCCACATCCTCCTCTTGCTCCTCCTCCTCCTGCTTCACCTCCTCCTCCTCCTCCTGCATCCCGTCCTGGTCGTCATCCTCCCTTCCTCCGCCATAACATCAGCAACAACAGTTACGTCATCATTGCCGCCATCGCCATCGTCTACACCCTTGCCTGCTCTCTATACTCGTGACCACCATCATCCGCCACCGTGCCTCGAGGCACCGAGTGGAGTGTCCTCAGGCGCATTCGAGTTTTCGGTGTTGAGTAGCATCAAAGCCCCAGGTTTCCGATTCTGGGCCCTAGGCTCCAGATTCCCAGGAATCCTGAGCGCTCGCGGGCGATCTTGGGCGTTTCGCAGGCTCCCCGCATGACCTCCCGACGCCGAAAATAGTTGGAGAACCCTTTGTGTTCGAGGGTTTTCAGCACCTGGGGATGAATCCGAACTGGCCCCAGGAGCCCTCTTTTCCGCCAGCGCTCACAGGACAACAATTCAACGCAGCTGACGTGATGACAAAGTCCCGCGGCCTGGTGTGGTTTTGTCCACGACCCAGACACGGTGACAGGATTGACCGACGGCCACTAGATCCGCCGCCCCTTCTTGGCTTGCCACAACGGTGCCCGGCGTGCTGCGTCCTAGACGGTTTGGTTTTGGGCTGCTTTTCCAAAAGAACTGTCCCTGGGGCTTCGGCCCGTCCCGCCAACCACCCGAAAGGCCGCACAAGGCTTGGATTTCTTGGAAAATGTTTCCAAAAACGGCTACACATGGCTTTCAAGACTGCCAAACTGGCCCAAAATGGCCTCCCAAATGCCTCCCAAATGCCTCCAAGATGGCCTCCAAGACGGCCCGAGATGCATGTAAGTCGGACGGCCTAAGATAGCCTCAAGATGACCCAAAACGGCCCAAGAGGCCCCCAAGACGGCCCCAGAGGCTTCCCAGGAGGTTTTCCAGGAAGGCCCGACGAAGCCAAAATCGTTCTGAAATATGTTCGTTTCTGCGCTTCCTCGGTTTTTCGACGGCCCACAATGGCCCAAGAAATCTTTAAGAATACCAAATGGTCGCCTACGAGGCTTCCAAAATGGCCCTATGACGACCCAAGAAGCCTCCCAAACAGCCTCAAGAGGGCGCCAGGACGGCCCAAGAGGACTCCAAGACGCCCAAGATGGCGCCCAAGACGCCCAACATGGTTTCCAATATGCCCCCAGGACGGCCAATATCATTTCCAAAACGACCAAAATGGCCGCTAACATTGCCAAGATGGCCCAAAACAGGCCCGACCAGCTTCCAACATGGTCCCAGGGGGAAGGGCCCAAGAGGTCCTCCAGGAAAGCCCGAAGGAACCCAAATCACTGATTTGCCTTCGGTTGTCGAAGGAGTTTGGCTTTCCCCCCGCTTTCGTGTTCCGACCGCCCAAAACGACCCAAGGACCCCCCAAAATCGTCCCAGAGGCTTCCAGAATGGTTCCAGAACAGTCCAACAGGTCCTGAAACCAGCCCCAACAGGGCCCCAACACGGCCCTAGAGGCCTCAAAGGCGCCCAAGATTGCCTCTAAGATGTGTCAAGACTGTGAACGGAGGTTACAAACATAAGGGTCGAACCTACCGTCGAATCCGTTGGTAGGGGATGAGATGATGGAGCGACAGCGTCCTTTTCCTTCTCACAACTCGATAGTCATCGGGCTCGCTATCCAACGCCCGAGCCGAGAGGTTGCATGATGGATGGGTAGAAGGAGAAGAGACGCGTTTTTTTCCCTCTCTCTCTCACTCACACACGCACGCACACACACACACACGCACGCACGCACGCACGCACGCACGCACGCACGCACACACCACGCACGCACACGCCACACACGCACACACACGCCGCTCCGCACGCTCCGCGCGAGCCAGAGGCCGACGGGAGGCGAAGGTGGGACTCGAGAACAGAGGTGCGAAGACCACTTCACACCCCCCCCCCCGCCCCCTTGCAGCCCCCAGGCGGGGCCCCATTCGGCAAGGGAAGGTAAGAGAAGACCAACCACGCGGCAAAAGGTACTTTGGGGAGTCTACCCGCGTTCAACGGGCCGATGGGCGCGCCCCCCGGAAAAACGCTTCGGCACTCCTCGACGACGCCCCGCCTCCGCAGGCTGCGAAGTTTGGCGGGACGAATAGATAAATAAAAAACAAAGCTGCGACATGGGCGCCGCCGCGGCGCCACTGACGCAAAAAATACCACCGGCTGCGCAACGTGGGTGCGCCAACTGCGCATCGTCAACTATGTACGCCGGCGCGCGCCAAACGCGCACATTCACCATCAGCGACGTTTGATGTAGCGCGCGGACGCAATGCATCCCAAAGTTTGCAAGGTATTACTCAGTCACTGAATTGCTCAAGTACGGCAAATTGTTATAACAACTGCAATATGTGCACATATGGATTGTTATGCGTATAATCAAAGTTGCAAGACCGACCGGTCAAAATTGCATAAGCAAGTCGTTGTCAGCATACTCAAGTGAGAAAGAGCGCCTTCTGCGGTCGCTTGGAGGGAGGGGGGTTTGGAACTGGACCACCGCCCCCCCTCCCGTGACGGAGGCGGGGTCCCTCCCCTCCCCCTCCTCCCCTACTTTTCCTCTCTCCCTCTCCTCGGGCCGGCGGTTGCGTCGCCGGCGGATGTCGCCGGCACTCTGCAGCGCCAGTTCTCGGACATCTGCGCGATGCAGCTCCACGGAACCGTCGGAGCCGAGAAGCGCCTCTCCCCAGACGGAGCGCAGAGGCTCCATTGCCGTTGTTCTTCGATTTGCGGCACGCCCAGTCGGCGAAGACACGCCGAGTGCTCTCGTCTTTCCGCGGACAGGCCGCCCACGTCGTCGGCAACGAGGAACGCAGACCCACGCGATGGCGCTCTGCGCCAAACACCGCCGCAGCACCGCCAGTTTAATCCTGCGCCGCGGCCGCATCGACCACCACGACGCCTTCGAGCCATTCATCGACGCCCCGCTGGGCATCGAAACGGGGCGACCCAGCGGCGGACGAGCTGGGCATGGCCCTGCACTGTCTCGGAGTCGTATTCTCTTTCATGGTATCGCGTGCCTGAGACTGAAGTTCACTTGAGCCCCAATGCACCTGCGGACAAACATGATGCAAGCAAAACTCAAAAGCAGTGTGGGTCAACGAAATGTTCTCTCAAATGAGGCGCTACAACTATAAACTACCCCAAGAGCGCTCCTCGAAACTAATCTAGGCGGCTTCGGGAAACAAATGATAATGGCATGTTCAACATGAGACGAGCGGGCCGTGGTGGAAGACCAATGCGTTCTCAAAGACGACCCAGAAACATGATGCAAACCCCGAGTGACCCCAAAACGGCCCCAGACAGTTCCACCGGGCCCAAAACTAACCGTCATTGTGTGAAGCGAGCCCAAACTCTGTCCAGGGAGACCCCCAACATCGGCGAGGGAGACCACATCGGTTTCCTCATTGAGTGCATTCTGGCCCACGTGTGCCACGAAGGCTTTCGAAGCCGACTCCAGGAACACATGGTCCGATAGCTAGGCCCACGTTTCCCCGACAGATTTCAACGGCAGCTCCGAGAAC